TGCTATCAATTCTATGACGATTTAAGGCATTTACTTAGACTTTGATACTTTCTTAAGCACGAGTACCAGGAATACGAGTTATTAGTATTCTACAAGCATGCTGCAAAAATATGCAAACTAATGAATAAGCTTTGTTCAAATAATTTGACAGCATTATAAACCACAAACACACACATTGTCTACATGCATATTGCTATATCTCCAGCAGTATACCAGAATTTACTAAAATATGTAGATAACTTGCTAAAAACTGGCAAATCTGGAAGCAGAAAAACTCGATAGCAGACAATGATAGATACTTGAATGGTATGCAAATGAGGAACCAAACAATGTATCCATTGAGAATCTAAGGTGCAACTTATATGGACAAGCTAAAACAGAGTGCACATGTGAAGCTACATCAGAATCATCACATTAGAATGTAGGTCCAGAGATCCCACTGCACGTCTAAATTTAGCACAGAAGGACAAAAATTGCCAACTAGTAAGACACAAATTACACCAAACTTAATTTGGGACAAGATTTTATCGACTAACGTATCCAGTGGACTTTGCGCCACTTGAACAGGAAACTTTTTAAGATAGCAAATATGAGCATGCTTTTATAAGCTATAGATCGTCTTACTAACGGCACTAGAAGGAGAGTCCGATGACTGCTAGAAGTAAATGTCTATTTACATGTAAGACCATAGTGGACATCTATAGCTATCTAACTTGACATCAAATGATTATGGATAGAATTGAGCGATTTTTTATCCATCAAAAACATGAAAACATCAACCTCCTTTAAAAGGAAAAAAAAAAGGCTTCCAGAAGAGCATAACAAACTTGTAAGATTAACGTGATGTGCATCACAGATTAACTTACGTCCTGGTCCATTTGTATATTTGCATCATCAAGTGTCTTTTCCATATCATTCATCAAAGCATGCTTCCGATGACTGAAGTAATCCCAAATGTACACCTGAAAGCAATTAACAGATTTATATGGTACAAAAGAAACATGATATTGGTCAAATGCAAACCAGAGTCGAACACAAGAACCAGCAGTGTTTACTTGATCTGGATTAAGGTCAAAAATTTCACAAGCTCTTTTGTGGAGTTCTCCAATAGTTTCCTGACAAAACATTGCAATAACCATCCATCTAGTAAGTTCAGTTATTTGAACTAGGAGAAAGAGGAGTTTTTTTTTTTTTTTTTTGCTTCTCATATTATCCTCTAGGACAAAGAAATGAGTCAAACACAACATATGGATACCTTTTTGCTTATTCTTGTAGTAGCTCTATCACCTTTTGGCATCAAATGTAATTGCAGCCGCAGAGGATAAACTTCCACAGACAACTCTGTTTTAGAGACACCAGAGTTGATTACTTTGCGAGCCACTGGAGGACCTCCTCCGTACCTGACCCACCAAGCAGTTAGTATTAACCTCACTGAATCATTAAGTAATCCTTTAGACCTTCTAATGTCTATTACACGAATGGATCATTAGAAAATATGATCTTAGCTGCTTTAAGATCATACAAAAAGGATATTCTAACTCCATAAAAAACAAAATTGGAAGGCATATGATGCAATAACAATAGATTGCAGGGTCTTGTTCAGCTTGTTTCCATTAAACACTCTAATCTCTTTGTAATTTAAGACACTCTTGCCTTCAGCTACGTAATTGGTCGTTCACAATTCCCCATTCCCTATCTCAGCCAGCCAGCTTCTCAATAGGAGGAAAAAATTATATTGTTTTATCCATGTTGAAAACATTTTCATTAAGTTTGCCAGAATATAATGATTAAGAAATGTATATGAATATCATTTAAAATAAATCATAATTTGGAGACAAAAGGATATAAAGGAATCCAAATATTATCCAAGATTGATTGGACTAAAACATTTAGGCTAACATACAGCATAATGCACAAGGGCAGGTAACTGCATATAACCACCAGAGGTAAGAAAACTAAGTTCAATAAAAATTTACACACTCGCTGAAACTTTTCAAAACTCCAAGGGCCTCAGCTAAGTGTTTCTGAACTCCCACTGACCACTGCTTGTCACCATTAAAGTGGACAGACTTCCACAAAATTGGCATCAAATGCTGAATATAATGGCCTCCCCAAGAAGTTTTACGATGGTCCAGACCGACAACTAGGCACACTTAGTAGTCGGCCCATGATCAATGAGACAGTCTCGTGTCAACATATAAAAACCCCACTTACCAATTTATATACCAAGTGGGGCCCACTTGCATATGCGCATGCAGTCAAGTGGGCCCTTTGCATGTGCACATGGAACTACCTAGGCATGCACGGCAATTTGTCCACACCAACATAAAATTTTCCTAGCCACCCCACTTTTCTTAAAAAGATAATTTTGGCACTAAAATTTCAGGGACATCTCTGTAGTATGATAAACATTGGCAAGTGGATTTATTAACCTTCAATATGATAGATGAGTATTGAAAATCCAACAAAGGAGAATCTATCAGTAAATTTAGTTTATAATCTTAATGCAACAGCCTCCTCCCTGATTTACTATCACCATTCCCTGTTTTCCTCTACTCCTCTTTCCGTGAGCCTCATTTCTGCATTCCAATTTGTGGAATTTTACATTAAGTTTGACTCAAATATAGGAAATTAAATTTGGTTGGAATGCAGAACAAGGATAATAGTTGTAAAGTATACACCAGAAAGCACAAGCAATGAATTAACTTATAGGCATACAATTCAACTTACCATGCGCAGAACTGATTCCATACTTCTTGTGGAAGCAATATGAAGTCAGTGCCTTCCACGAGGGTCTCATGAAGCTCAGTCCGCGGTGTAGATTTATCTGAAGTCACTTCATACAATAAATCAGAATTGTCAATGCTTGACGGTCCCTTCAAAGAACTTGAATCGACAGCATCGTGGTGCTCAAAAGAGGATCCATTATTTGTATTGGTCGCTGGGCTTTGATTCACATATTCAAGCCACTCCTGCCACCATCTGTAAGAAGTCATAAAGATAAGGATAAAAAAAGCTTCATAATTTATCGCCACAGAAGTATGTACTGAGTAATTCAAAATTCTTACAACACTTAAATGAGCAACAATACCGAGTAATTCAAAAATTTTACAACACTTAATGAGCAGCAATATCGTAACCAGCGAGAATCTGATTCAAAGCTTAAGAGCAAAGGAAGAAAAGAAAATGCAGCACAGAAAATAATGTCGAAACTTTTAGTATTGCTAACTACTATAAACTAGAAGGAAACAAAAAAGGGAAAAAGAAAAACATATCCTACCTCCTGAATTGCAATTTTGGCAAATGAATAAAATAGTCAATTTAAAAGCCTTTGAGAAGTTTTAGAAGGCTTCCTTGGGCTTATTCTGCAAACACTAGAGAGCATGAAACATGTGGGAAGCAAAGCTTTTGGAGCGGGCGTTTTTTTGGGTGGGTAGGTGTTGTTGTGTGGGTGGGGCTGGGGGGGGTGGTGGGGGAGTTCTTCACCTCCACCTCCGTACTCAAGATCACATATTTATCTGCTTCCAATCCTTAAGCCTTAATTTACAAAATGCAAGTAAAATTTAAGCATCGACCGGCATTGAGAGCGAAGTCTCTTAAACCCTAACTGTCCTAATCACGGTTTTTAGTCTTTTAAAAGAGAGAGAGAGGTGTCACAGCGGAAATAACGTCAGAACAAAAGAACCAACCGAAAGAAAAAACAAAACTAAGAAAAAGTTTCAGGTTAAAATCTTTAAAAGCATCCGGTTCGGAATAAGAAATACCTCTGATTGAGTAAATAAAAGGTATCGCCTTCTTTAGTTTGGGCTTCGGCGGAAACCGTAATGTCTCGGATAGTGAGCTTCTCTTCCTCCGGCGTCAGCTTCGGTGACGCCTCCGTCATTGTCCCTCCTCCCTCCGCCTCACTCTTCTTTACCCGTCAGAAACAAAAAGCTCAAATAATCGGTAGACAATAATTAGCCAAGTTACAAGTAATCTACGAAATTCTTTTCCCAGAGAGCGGAGAGAGATTCAGAACCGATGGTTGAACGGAGGAAAAGTGGGAATTTTTAGGCGAAACAGAGAAATGGATAACGGCAGATACAGCAGACGGAGCCGAGGGTGACGATGGCATGGGATTGTATCTACTGTCCAAAAGTATCTATACAGCTCCCCACCTTAAAACTGGTGCGGACACCTGTGGAGGGTTTATGTAACTCCGATTCACACGTCATTCTGATGTCAGCACTTTGCATTTTCCATTTTTCTTTTTTTTTTCCCAAGCCAAAATAGTAGTAGTACTACTTTTGTCATGAACTTACAATCGGATCAGAAGATCCATAAAAAAAAGTTTGAGACAACAGATAATTAGATTATGATACTCAAAATTTGACATTTTTCTTTTGATTATTTTGAGCCACTTGGATATTGTTGTTATTCCAATTGATCCCGTGTCAAATATATATATTAACACTTCTCATATACACACGTAGAGAGATTCTATAATTCCTTTCGAGAATCACGCCCTCAACTTAAATTCACAAATATATGATGAAATAAATATGATTAAATAGTAAAATAAGTTCACAAATATATGATGAAATAAGTATAATTGAATAGTAAAATAAGTATTTTTAATTTTTATATACCATAAATTTAACCATAATTGCAATGAATGATTTAAATTTTATATTTATATATATATATATATCACTATCTTCGTATATCTTTATATTTTGAAAAAATATAAGAGTAAAGTTACTATAGAATTTTGCCACATTAACAATACCCACATTTGTTGCTGTTAAATTTTGCCGTATCATATTCATTTTTTGATGTACGTATTTGTGAAGAGCTTCAACTCTCTTTCGGAGGCCTGGCCACCAAATGAAATATTAAACATAAGGTGAGCAAATCCCTGCACTTAAGTAAGATTGTCTGGTCGCGCATCCCTTCAATTTATCCTTAAATGAGTTGAGAGGTTCTTTGAGAAATGACAACGAAAGGTAAAGCCATCATCAGGAGTTTACGATTCCCTACTTATTATAAACCACAAATCCTGCATTCACCGCTTTTCACAGGAAAAAAGATTTACAGGGTGAAAAATCCTTCTCACGTTTTTGACCAAAAAAGGAAAAAAAAAAAAAAAATCCTTCTTACGCGACTATGAGCCAACCAACCGTATACACAATCGACAAATTACTCCTAAAAAAAATGAAAAATAAACAACAGCACAAGATAAATCTAAACTTTATGTAGCAGAACAACTAGACATAATTAGCCTGTTTATTTAGCTATCTGTTAATCACAATGGTCCCAATTCCAGGGACACAGTCAAAAGCATCATGAGTGAGCAGCCCACATGAGGAGAGCCAGCCAGCATCTCAAGATTTCTTAGGCAAGGACGCCCGAGGAAGAATGTTGTTGGCAAGATCTTCGTTCAGCTTCACAGGAAGCGGCGGCATCTGCTTCATTATCTCTGGCAGGTCATTCAAGCTGCATGTACAAGCCAGCTCACATTATCACACATGGCAGTTGTGGACAATCATAAGAACTAATAGTTCAGTTGAAAAAACGAAAACAGAGTTCCAGTGGAGTTCTCAACTCAACATATCATTTTAAACTCTCTTGACAATTAGCATAAATACTGTCCAATCATTTCCTCAGAATGTGTCTTCTTGCTCTTACCATTTGTAAACGCCCTTCCCTGGGGAATAATCATCCAGATCTTAACTACTGAAAAGTCCCTATGCAGTTTGAACCATGGTCCATTGAAACGGTATTTAGATAAAGAAACCGTCTACAAATTAAATGGGAAAAAAAAAAACATCTTTTAGAGGCGTATCAGGATCAAATGTCATGAACCCCTTTTTTTCTGGAAGATCAAAGCAGGTTTAGGATTTTAAAATCAAAAGAAAGGAACAATACAGGAAAAAAAAAATGAAAATTCAGGAGGACAGGTGAAAAAACGTGAAGGATAACATTAAGTTTCTCTTAATGTAAAACAAAAACATGCAAAAATTGTAGGCAAACTGGCCAGCATGACGTACTCGTTCATGATGCTAAGGATATTGTTTCGAGCTTGGCAAAAGAGATTTATATTCTCTTGTATCTGCAAAAAATTTGGATAAGAAAAGCACTGTCAATATTAGCTGTTCACAACCAGGGACTAAGTTTTGCAGTAATATAAATGCCAAAGATGTCAATGAACAGAAATTATATAGAACGCCAATAGCATGAAGAAATTCTCAAGCGACATCACTAATAATGTAGACAATACCATTGCAGAGTGACAGAAAACTTTTCATAACACTGTCGTAAGAGAACTGCATATTTCCATTTACGCAGCTAGACTTATTTCAATTATTGTCACTGCTGGACAATCACTGATATCATCTGACACAAGATAACAAATGAAAAGAGAAAACCTCACTATGACATAACACATCATTCCTCAATTACAAGGAATAGTAAGAATTCCAGAATAAAATATTGCCAGAACTCTCAGTTTTAGAAGATTGCATCATTTTTCAACCACAAAGCTGGGCTTCAATAACTGCCAGCAGCAAAAGAAATCAAAGTTGGGTAGGAAGCAACCTAATTATTAGTTTCAATATTCAGTTGAAAATGGCATCAGGAAACTGCAACTACATGAGACTACTAGCCTCCTGTTCTTCCTTAGAGTGAAGAAAAAAAACTTCTCAAGAGAAAGAATCAAAAACTTTAATCACCTTGAAAGCAGCAAAATTTGCAGAAATTTGGTCCAAGGCTTGAGCATTTTGCTCAAGAAGCTGTCCAGTTGCACCACCTATTGCTGAAAAGCACAAATGTTGATCAAGAGAAAGAGGAGCAATATACTGATCAGACAGAACATATCAGCCATCCAGCCTTGCATTTCATGATTAGAAGCGGGAGAGGAACGGAAGATTTATATAGTTACCCACTAACGCATAAAACTGTCGACCAACCTTTATAAGAGATGCCATCATCACTGTCCATGGACATCACTGACTGAGCATAGGGTGGGCCATTTGTACGGTTACCCGCATGAGACTTTGGAAGAGAATCTGTAACTTTTTCCTGGGAGCCAAAAAATAAATTAAAACATAAAACGAAGGATTAATCTTCCGCACACTGACGGTGTACACATTAGCAGGGTTGGATGCATGCCACATATGTAAAATTTAGATTTCAAATCCATATTAAGTTTAGTAGTCATATATCGAAGCCCAACACACTGCCAGTGTATAGAAGATCAATACGTTACTAAAATGGATGTGTTGTTTAAGTGAACTACATAGGTTCCATTCTCCTGATACAAGAGAGCCAGATCCCATTCCATCAAGTTGATCAAGGCCCATCAGCATTAAAAACCAGCACAAATCTAGATGTAACAGCCATCAGATTGGTGTTCCTTCAACCCCATCACAACCAAGTCCCAAATGGCGTAACAAAGTCTAAAACTTGCCCCGCAGTCCTATTCTCAATAGTGGTCCAAATAGACCTCCATCAACTTACTGCAACAGAAATATGTGGTATGCAAGATAAGCATCTCAAAGCAACAATCAGCAGGCGAGCATTAAGATGGAAGCACTGAAGGAGGCAAATCAGAAGCAACAGAGCAGGCAGGTGGACAACAAACTAACGGCATCTGCTATAAAGCTAATTGTCATTATTGGATTAAGACGACTAAATATAGATTTTGAAGGGAATATCTAAATGCAAAAGCAACTTCGCTTTCTTTAATAAGAAAAATATTAAGCAAAACAACTCCAGACATCTCTGGTTTAAATCATTTGACTTTCTACATTGGTCGAATAGCTTACTCCTAAACACAAAGCCCCATGCCTGCCTCAGGGGTAAGGTTGGCGCCTTGGTCACAATAAATCTCATGTTTCATTATGGCTCGATACAGCAATATGGTGGTGTTCATGAGTGTAATTTATTCTACCAAAGACCAAATAGTGTTGAAGGAAAAAATGGTTGCAGCACAAATTAAGAAACCTCTGAATCTCACAATTGTGGATTTCAAGCAAGGCAGAGATGACAACCTGCAGTAAGGCAATACCTTTTTGTCTTTACTTTTCCTTGCTGAATTATGGTCATCCTTCCGTCGCTTGCCGTTTTCCTTCTTCTGCAAAAGAGAAAGGCATGACTTTTAGTGGTACAACACCGTAGGACATACTAATTAGTCAAAAGGAAAATCAACCCCTCTGAATAGCATGCCTTTCTTTGCTTTGCTCCTACATTTAAGAAAGGGTAACAGGGGACCAGTAAACTATAAATACAACTTTCATCCATCATCGTTTGAAAATCACGAGAAAAACACTAGAATGTCGCTTAGATTGACCTCTCAAGGCAATCAAATGTTTGAAAAGAAATCAAGTTAAATTAGAATGCAACTTCCAATACCGTAAGGTCTAACAAGAACGAAGTGTATGCTGCCTTACTACCCTGCATGAACTGAAGCCACTTTAAAACATCAAATCCTTGACACCTAATTCAGCAGTAGAGCAACCTCACTGTTGTGAAAAGGCACTCCATTAAACATGTGCTTTTTTTTTTGGGCACCTTTAATCTCATCAAGATGCGCATAACAATTTATAGCTTAAGATAAAAGTTTCTTCAATATCAGAAAGTGGAATGCGGGAAGAAAGAAGGGGGTTGGGGGGAGGGGAGAGAGATATGAATATGGAAAGCTTACATTCATCCATCTGCAACGCAATGCTACATCACGAACTGTTTTATCATTTAACTGCCCAGCAATTTTAGCATATCGAACAATAATTCCATCTGATGAATATCTGCAGGACCCATCCATTTGTCAACTTAATATAAGTCTCCCATGCATGGGTACTGTAACTACATGGATAAGCACAACTAGAAAATACAATGATTGGATTACCTAATCAATGTTGAAACTTCAGAAACGACATTTATGGAGTACAAAGGAACAAAGTTAAAATGACTAAATCATTAAGAGATTGTGCTATCAATCATACCAAGTTCAAACTTTTGAATTTTAGTGTCTAAACCAAATCATTTACAACTTAGAAGTAAACATAAAGCTTACACATGTACCGCCTCTGAAAATGAAAGACATATTTTTGGCCACCTAAAGAGTTGACCCACTAGCATATCCAAAATTAGACCAGAGTCTAGACTACTATAATAACCTCCTCCTCCTCCCCCCCCCCCCAAAAAAACACGAAGACCAAGAAATAAATGATAAAAGAATATCAGAACATTGAGCGTAGCTGGTGGCAAAGAGAAACACATGCTCAGCCTAGGTTGATAATTCCACAAACAAAATCTTTGTAGCTTTCCGGTATGATAAATGGTCACATCATCTCACATTCACTTCGTTACCAATAAATTGATGTTCAGGCAGCTATACCACCATCAACACAAGGACAAGATTAAAAGAGAATGAAAAAGAATGAAACACATTCCATTAGAGATGACGAGAGTTGTTAACAATCTTGACAGCAAATGAATTTGACATCAATTCAACTCTGTCCGTATGTCGTACGTGATCATATGCCAGTTGGAAACGTACATTCAACGCATAACCAGATAAAAAAAAAAATTTCCTAAACACTTTTCTATTATATTCTTCAGGTGAGATAATTTATCAGTTGTCGCACAAAGTTTGTTTTTGATGCAGTTTATTTTGCATAACTTGACTTGTTGCAACTTTATTTATTTTTCTTTTGTACATAGTAGTTCTTCATTGAGAGTAAAATTCTGTCACACCAGTTAATACGCATAGCACGCAAAAACGAGCACATGAACTTAAATCAAAGAAAATTCAGCTACATGAACGATTTTGAAGAGTCTAAATTAACCGCACAGATCCACCAAACACGCAAACTAACCTAAACTTTTGCACAAGTTTATAAATTCAAAAAATAAAGTCAAAGTTTTTGCTTAGGACAAAAAATTACTGACTTGTTGAGCAAATCTTCCAAAAGGGACTGTTCTTCGGATGTCCAGTCGGTATTAACACCGGGGTCGTGCATGAGCCCCGCCTGGTTAGGCCCCAAAACGGAATTTTCAGGAACGGAGAGACCGTTATTGGTGGCGCCATTTGCTCTTTGGCCGTTATTATTGCTGTGATTGCTGTTGCTATTACCATTATTCTGACCACCACCACCAGCAGCAGCAGATGGATTCGCACTCGCAGCCATCAAGTTCAAATTTTGTCGACGGCCCAACTTCTAAAAGCTAAATTCACGACCGGTTTGGATTATTGGATGAAATTCGACAATATTCTTTTCCCTAAAAAAATTAACAGTCGGGCAGTGGATATGTAAAGAGTCTGCTAATGGATAGAGCTGAACACATGTGCTGACGCAAGGGAGAACTGTGAAGATTAAGATAGTTTATTTGCTAGTTACATACAACCAAAGGAATTTGGAAATGGTGTAGGGAAGAAAGGAAAGAGGATGGGAGAAAGCGGAAAATCTGTACGGAAATTGAGGTGTGGTCGATTCCTTTTTTTGGCTGCTTAAAACCTTTTTTTGGCTGCTAATTTAAGCAACTTCACTCAAGGAAAGGGAATCTCAGTCATTTCCCGATTAGGCTGTCCTGTTCATTTTAGGGCTTTTCTTTTTTTCTTTTAATTTGGAGAGGAATTGACATACCTATTTTTCTGAGTACCATACCTGGCGATTTATTTTCAACCTGTTATTTGCTTATTCATTGTAAGATGTGAAATCTCGTCTCTGGTGAATAATCTCTAGATCTCCCGAAATTATTAATTATGTTAAACTTTTTCTCGTAATGTTTGTTAAATATAATTAAATCTGCATCAGATGTAGAAAAATGTGGTTCTGCTCTTTGGGATAGGATAAAAGATAGGACAGTGGGTATGGGCGTGAAAGACGCAGGTACCGGTGTGTTTTCAATTGCCAACAAAATATGTACAATGATTGATATCCACGTCATACTTTCCGGTTCAATTGATATACTACCCCATTTGTTCTACCACAAAATCAGGCCCCAAAATTACTTTAAAAAGGAATTGGATTTTACAAATATTTATGAATAGGCGTCTAGAAAAGTTAATAGGTCACATCAACTACTAGGCATCATGGCAAAACATAAGAGGCTCTCTTGGATTATATATATTTTTTTAGGAGACTCGGAAATCTCTGATTAAAAATAACACTATTTACTAATTGTGTGTTTTTTTTAATATAATTTACGTGAAATAAAAGCGTAATTAAAATATGTATTAAGATTTTTTTTTTTTAAATCCCTCGTACCCTTGCCGAGTTCTTACCAATTAAACTCCCTAAATCGATTGTCATCCTTTAAACATGATATATCCAAATATATTTACATTTTTTGTTGATCACCAACTGGGATCAAATTGCATTAGAAAATAACCTACCATACTACCTTTCTCATAATTATTTTATCTCTAGTGATTAAGGCATGTTCTAATGTGCGTGCAATTAATAAAAAATTATATTTTTATCAATATTTGTTTCTTATAAAGCTTTTATTTTTTATTTTTGGTCACAGTCCTTTATTAAGCTTTCATAAAGAAAAAGAGTAGGCCAAGTTTTCGGGAAAAAACCTAAGCAAAAATTAGTTACATGAAAAAGTAACCATCTTGCAGCTTGTAACAATTACTTAAATAATAAAGAGGTGTATATTTTTGTCGTTCTTGAATGACATCATGCAAGACCCTCAATAAATTACACGAGACTCTTTATAGAAATATATTTTTTGAATATAATTTATCCGAAATAAAAAATATAGTTGAAATATGCGTTAAAAGAATTATTTAAAAAAATCCCACATACCCTTACTTAGTATTTATTTACCAATTTAAACTCCTTAAATCAATTGTTATTCTTTACGCATGATACATCTTGTATGTTTACATTTTTTTTGTTGGTACGAGTGTGGTTTTGCAATGAAAAATATATCCTATACCCGTACAACCATGTACACGGCTTTTTTTTTTTTATCTCGTGCCGATGCAAGAATTGTTGACTAGTAAGCTTTACTCTCGTGGCAATGAAACAGCACGATCATTTTTTTAATATTTAAATAAGTTGTACGAACTTAACAACACAATACAAGTTCTTATTTTATTATTTCACCTTGTTTAAAATTTTTATTTTTGATAATAAATTTATTTGACACACTTGTTTGATCTTGTATCTTAGATTTTAAAATTTTAATAGCAAAAAAAGTAAAAGCAAATCTTCTTATATATATTAACAATGTATATATTATAATCGTTTGATATATGAAGGTGTAAATTTTATATACATTCATATTTAACAGTGTATACATTATTAATGTTAAATGTATGATAGTATAAGAAAAATTAATCAAAAAGGTAAACTCTAATAGTTACCAATAATAGCTTTAACTAATTCTGAATTTTCTCTATAATAAATCTCCATATTTATCTTTTGCAAATGAGAATATTCCCTAGGTATCTTTGCTTGACTTCTGCTCTTAAAAATTTTGTTAGTACCTTAAACTTTATTAGTGTAAATATAAATGCACAAATCAATAGTCCTAATAAGGATAATAACTTCAGAGTTGATAATATTCATTATTAATAAGTTATAATCACTCATATTTCGATGGGCAATATGCTTGTTTCACTAAAATTAGCTATCTTTTAATATTCCCTACATTTTATTGAAATGCTATATAGTTTGTGTAAAAAAAATGCTCCTAGTATTCTATGAATGAAGGTGTAGAACTTGAGGAGATGAATGGACAGGGTAGCTCATGGGAGAGGAGAATAAGTACAGGCCCCAAATTCAAACCATCCCACTTTAATAAAAAAAAAAAAAGAAATTTAGTATTTGATTTGTCATTATTTTGTGATAAGATTTTCGTATGTATCATAAATATATTTTGTAATTATTTTTATATTATTTAAGTAATAATTTTTATATTATATATATCACACCATAAAAAAGTGTTACAGTATAATTATAAATGAATTTTAAATAATCTTTAATCCAAACAAAATCAAATTATTGAAATGCAACAAAAAAAATTTTTCCCAAAAAAAAAAAAGGATTCTTACGCTCTCAGGGGGGGAAACCGGATAAGTTGGTATCTGAGTAAAATGACAATAAACCCCCTCCTACAGCATGAATAGAAGGGCAATCAAGTCAAAGCGTTCCAGCTGCGGGAAGGGAAACACGGTGCATGATGACGATATCACCAGCCAAACAACATAAAAAAGAAAAAAATGACACAATGCCTCGCCCCAGAAATACAAAGCACAATAGCAGTAGATTGACACCCCAAACGACATCGGACAACATATAGAAAATAATAAGAAGGGAGCCCAATTTTCGTTCCCTCTTTCATAACCGGAGTGGGAGTCACCAGTTTTCCAGGAACAAGAATTAGGGTTTTTATTTCTGTAACAGAGAACAGCTGAAAACGACGAAGTATCTGCTAACTCAATACCCTAACTCACCACCTTCAACTTCTTCACTCCAATCGGGAAGCCTTTGACGGAAGCACCGTTTCTTCTGCATCAGTAGCGGAGCGAACCACTTCGGAATCTGAGGTGAGCTTTTCTTTTCTTTTTTAATCTTGATTAGTGACCAGCAGTACCTCAAATTTTGACTGGGTGTACGAGTGTAATTCGGTACTGTTTTGCTGAATCATTGTGCACGCAATAGCCCTTTTATTTTTTGCTGGGTTGTTCTTTGTTGGGAATTTTAGATGGATATCTGGGATAAAAATGGAATCTTTGATTGTCATGGAAGTTAACTCCTTGGCCCTTTCCTGGGATTATTCTACTTTTTCTGGCTACTTTTAGTTAATTGTTGCCTTTGTAGTTTCTATGAAGCATTAAGGTGACTTTTGGATAAATTCTTGAGCAATCATTGGCTGTTAGCAGATAAGAGAACTATATGTTGTGATTGAAGTTCCAGGATTTCACCATGGGAGGATATCAGAACTTTGGCTCTTAGCTTAGCCATCTGTTTTTTTGCTCTGTTATACGCTTCATTAGTTGATGTGTATTTCGGTTGGATTTTGATTCTTCCGTTGACAATATTGAAATTGCTGACAAAATAACGGTGTTCAAATGGGAGGTATATCTACCAAGGAGTTTTAGAGCTGCCATGTTACAAAGCAAGAACTTCATTATCAAATTCTAGAACCTTACGTTGCAAAGTTGAGAATTTTGTTAAAGTTGTGAATTTTACCTGGCAAAATTGAGAACTCTCGAGTGCTCAACATGAAAAAGTTGAGAATGTTAAACCTGTCGGATGGTGAGGTTGAAGACTTTAATCTGCAACGTTGCATTCAGGAGAAGCTTTCTGATTTACCCAGGTCAACATATAGTTCAAAACTACGATAAATGATGGGCATTTCAGGAGGTTGCGTGTGGCCTTTGACTTGAAAAAGTATAAATCTGGCAGGTATTAAGAAGCGCCAACTTAAATTTTAACATTAGAGTGACACATACTGTTGTCACATGGTAACCGTTAAATGCATGCTATGCTGGTCGATATGGTAGGTGGATATAAAAGGTAATTGCCTCACTAACTGGATGGTATGTCTCCCTAGTTTATTGACATCATTTGATTGCCCCCGTTTACAATGACAACAACCAGTAGTTTAGGGACTCCAGAAGCATACTGAAGCATGCTTCCATTCCAATGTACAATATTTGCATAGGCATGGACTGGCTTCTCCTTAGATCAAGCGCTATGATCACCTGGAATTTTGGAGCAGGAGATCCTGAAATATTTAGAGCATTAATGCCATGCAGTGTTTACCCGAGGTCTTAGGTTTTGTCATGACATGGTTGCTTAGAAACTGGTTGCCAATTATGTTGGCTAGGTTCTAAGAATATATCTAGTATGTTATTATTGTAATCTCCAGGTGCTGTGGAGCCTAAGTATAGTTCGCCTTATCCCTGCACATAGAGATGTCTATTTCATGTGTAAAAGTTGAGACCTTCTAAGCCTGGACAGGAGCAACTTCATAAATTCCTTAAGATTGATTGAATTTGAAAATTCATTGTTTGAATAAAGAAACAATTGAGTTGGATTCAATTGAATGGTACCAACCAAATGGAGAGCTAATACCCAATTCTGATTGAATTAATTGAATTAACTGATCGACGCACTATTGGATATTTGTTTATCGTCTGTAACATCTACCTATTCTGCAATTTCAACCAACCCACCCAGTGAGTAACTCTTAGGTAAACTAATAAAAAGGGGTTTCGGTTTCTCTTGATTGATTACAGAAAAAAGACCATCCCCGTGCTTTGCTAGGCCTAGGTAAGGTGATGAAAATACAAGAAATTCTCAGAAAAAATTAGATAAAAAAAAAAGAAGATAAATATCAAAATTTATATTCCGACCCCTCTTATTTTTAGCTTGTATGCGGAAGTGATCGATGGATCTCTTGAAACAAACGAAAAGGAAATTAGATTCATCTATTTCATGTGTCCAATTGATACTCCCTCAATCCCATTATTAATGTCATGTTTCACCTTTTTCATTGTCACAAAATTAGAGTCATGCTAAAATTTTTCCCTTCCACAGTTTCATTCTTACCTCGTAGTGCATGTGTAAAAAAGTCTCAAGAAATTTAGTGGGACCCACTATATATTGCCATTTAGAGAAGCTAGAAGAGTGTGCAAGACAACTCCCACTTTATAAGGCTAATATTGGTGCGTGTCTTTAACGTATGAAGAGATGCATTTGATTGAGATGGGGCCCATAGAATTATGACTCTTTGAAAAACACAAACTTCAGCTGTCTAATGTACTTCTAGTGAGGTAAATTTGGAAGTAAAGCATCTGGCAATAATAATCTACTGTACATAAAAAGTTGCAGTCCCAAAAAATGTCTCTAAATTTGGGACAGAGGGAGTACTTTTGAAGCTGCCATGGGCTTTATACAAAAGCCTCTTTTCTTTCTTTATTGCCCTCATTTTCTTTCATTGTTAATTCTCTTTTTGTGGTAAGCTTACTATATTGCAATCTACATTACCCTGCTCTTTCTAATCAATCTTGTTTGATTGTTTGAGTTTTGAAGTAGTCCGCTACTCGTATACCCAACATCTTCTCCAACCTAGGCAACCTGTACTTGTTTAGCATACGAAGTTAATTAGAGCAACAAAGGTTCATGTTATTTTTGCATGTTTTCCTTTCCTTTTTTTTCAATTATTTATCTTGGAGATGGTGCCTGTGTATTTTCTTTGAAAGGTGGGAGCCCCTAACACTATTATGAAATGGCAATACAATATTAAAGAAGGATGGTGCCCGTTCAATTTGTCCTTATAAATTACTCCCTCTATTCCACTTTGATAGTCTTGTTTTCCTTTTTTATCCACCCTAAATTATAGTTCACTTTCCAATTGAAAAATATAATTAACTTCTCTAAAATACCCTTATTAATATGTTTGTTATCAGTGGGTATAACTTACCTTATTTAATATAGTTAATTTCTTTATCAATAATTGCTTTGGTTCATGCCTTGAACGGTGCAACTTTCCATCAGTATTGTTGTTGTAATTAATGTAAAGGTATAATGATTAGTCACACTCCTAATATTAATGTAAGGGTATTTTAGAAAAACAGTAGGTTAGATTTACTCTTCCAGCAAAGTTAACAAATTTTTCTTAAATTGTGTGAAAAAAAAAAAGCAAGACTATCAAAGTGATATGGACGGGTATTATCTTCGCTTTTCATTTGAATTGTTGATACCCATGCTTTTTATGGTGGTACTTACTACTGATTGTTAACATTTGAATCACTTTGATGAAGGAGAACTAAGTAACATGATGTTGCCTTTTGCATTTGCTCTTTTAACTAAGGATTTATATTCAATTTTAGTTGCTGATTTATACCATTTTTTGCAGGTTAAATATCAGGTTGTAATGGTCTTCTTACATATTTGATGCTGATTGATGGATCCTGATAGCAAGAAGTTTGGAAGAGGTAAGATACTTTAAGGATCAGATGTTGCGTGAAATTTCCTTTTACCATATTATGGTGTATTCATTCTTGTTTGGCATGATTTTGTTTTTCAATCTATCAGATCGAGATTGAGATTTTTTTTTTTAACTTCTAGAGTTTGTGTGCATGCCATCCATTTCATAAGTTGGTTTGAATTGAATAAGAAGATGGCTCTTTTGCTATTTGCTTTCTTGTGAATGAATCAAATGGAGCAGGCTTTTGAGGAAATTACGGTGTCGGACTTCCTTGCTTAGTTTTTTCCCCATTTAATTCCCTTCTAAATTTTGACTGGCCTTGTGCTACTGTGAGAATGAGCTCTTTTACTTGATTATTCTGTTCTATGGAATGTATCTCAAAGTGTTTGGTAACGTACTTGAAACTTTCATGTGTAGGTTTGCCTAAAATGTTTATTGTCTGTTGAAATGTCGAAGATTTGTTTCCGTAATGTGTAACGTCTAACTATTTGGTGCTATTTATGATAATAGGACCTAGAGAACTTACAGGTGCTGTGGATCTTATAAGCCACTACAAACTGTTGCCTCACCACGAATTCTTCTGTAAGAAGTCACTACCCTTGTCTATCTCCGATACACACTATCTTCATAATGTGGTGGGAGACACAGAAATTAGGAAAGGTGAAGGTATGCAATTGGATCAGCTCATTCAGGACACTTCCTTTTCAAGAGAGGCAAATGCACGCATACAGCCATTTGACCTAGATGTTCTGAGAGAAGCCTTCCAATTACGGGAGACTGCACCAGTTGATCTGCCTCCTGTAAGAGTCTACTTATTATAGTTTGTTGATTTAGCTGCTAATGATCCACGATGGCTCTTTGTTTTATGTCGTTGATTCACTTAAAACAAGGGTTTCCGAGATTCTTTTTCTATTTGTTTTGCTTCATTACTCTTTTTATACCTGATGGGTGAGTACTGATACGTCGCATCATCGGTGTGTTTTGAAGTCTGAGAAGGGTATTCCTACCATAGCTGCAAAATCAAAAAGCGAGTCTAAAGACAAGGAAAAGAAGCATAAAAAGCACAAGGACAAGGACAAGGACAAGGACAAGGATAAAGAACACAAGAAGCACAAACATCGTCATAAAGATCGGAGTAAAGATAAAGACAAGGAGAAAAAGAAAGATAGAAGTGGCCATCATGATTCTGGTGCTGAGCACTCAAAGAAACATCATGAAAAGGTTTGGATGTTATGCTCTGTTGCTACTGCTATGCCTTAACGAAAGTCATGTGTCACGACTTGTAATAATGCTCCATAAATTTTCACTTTAATTGGTTAATTCTTTATTTGATTGCCCTTTCATGATCACTAGCCCATTATCACTGAGCAAATTATGTGATTTATGAATTTAGAACCCAAATTTGCTGGGTAAATTTTGTTGATGGTTTTGGCAAGTTGCTGTAACCCATCAAACTTTGTATGTGTAGGGATGTCATATCTTTCTTTCTACGTTTTGATGTACTACATCTAATTTAAGACCTCTTTTGCCTAATTGAGTTTCAGAAAAGGAAGCATGATGGGGATGAAGATCTCAGTGATGTTCACAAGCACAAGAAAAGTAAGGTACATGGTTGACATGTTCTTTCATTCTATTTCCCTGTGGTTGGACTGTCACTATTAACCTGTTCTGCTTTTTTTATGTCATTTGAACTAGCTTCTTCATAGTTGTGTTGCCTTCTTACAATTCCAAATCTTGCAGCATAAGAGCTCAAAGATTGATGAGATGGGTGCGATAAAGGTAGCAGGCTAATTAAAGGCAGACAGTTCTTTGTAATTTTTTAGTCCTCTGATGTTGCAGTTGAGAATTTGGAGGAGTCCTTTACTTACTATTGTTCAAGTCCATATATCTGAGGTACAGAAATTCCATATAATGACTATGTCCTGCTATTATGTCCTGCTAAGACCTATATTAGAAGACAAATTCCATATAATGACTATTGTGTTTCTACTAGAATTAAACTTCTTTGGCATGATATTTTTTCTTCTCTTGTTGAGAGGAATGAACAATCTATCTCCAGGACAGTGACAATTTGTCAACATTATATTAATTGATTCTTTGTATTGCTCCGAGAAGAGAATTATATGTGGATAAAAACTCCATCAAATAAAATCAATTAAATTCATTACATATAATGACAAATTAATGGAAGACAAGAGTTGAACTTTAATCTCTCCGACCATCAAGGCCTAATAGCATTCATTCTATGCTCGGTTTTCAAACACGTGTAGGCTTTGTTTGGACAGCTGATTATTTTCTTAATTATATTTGCTTACATCATCATTACAATTTTTAATATATTTTTTTATCTCACATACATCACATCATAAGAAAAGTGCTACAGTGAAAATAGAACTTACATACGGACTTTTTAATTCCACGAATTAAAGGACGGAGTACAATTATTATTATTACCACTGTTATATCCCATAATAATGACAAAGATAATGACCGTTATTGTGAAACTAGCACGTGAGGTGCACACATACGTGGATCCAAGTTTTAAGTAATAATATTAGTTGTATTATTATTATTGCAAAGAAAAGAACGTAAAAAGTTTAGTATATTCCAAACTTTTAAATCATTGTTCTTTATGAATTGAGGGCGACCATCAATCATGATGAATCAATGTGATAGTAGAACGGCCATCTCATTTGGTGGTGTGGTGGTGTCCTTTTTGAATTTGCACCAATTGTTTTATTTTATCGGACAATAATACGTGTTTCATTTTTGCAGTCGCTTTCACAATAATGAAAATTCGGTTTAACTTTTGAATTTCATAAAACCAAACCCATACCCTTTTCTTCATCATATTTTAGAGTGGGTATTTAATTACCCCCCCCACCCACAAAAAAAAAAAAAAAAAAGACTTTGAATGCAAAGTATGTTGAACAAAAATGATTTGGTATGTTGAACCATAGATTGAGTGAGCTAACACAGTCACAGCCGGTGAAAGTAAGGTACTCACAGTCCCAAAGGAGGAAATCATCAGGGACAGACGACTGATGTGGCGAGAAAAACCCACCGCTATCGTTGACTCCAATCTCGGGCGAGACTGTCGGTAATCTCGTTCCACGAACTGACCCTCAAAAAAAAAATTATATATATATTTTTTGTTTTCTTTTACAATTTTAATGAAACTTATATTTTTGAGACAGCCCCTTGATTATCAATTTTTTGAGAAAGACCCATAAAATTTTGCTTATGCATTCAGATTCACACATAGTCTTCCTTCTTCTCGCGTTTGTAACATTTGCAGTCATTTCGTTTTCTATTACTCCTTCCGTCCCATTTTGTTAGTCTTGATTTTTTTTTTCACACAGATTAAGAAAATGTAATTAATTTGATTGGAAACATAAATTTAGATTAATAATTTCCTAAAATACCCTTATGCTAATCACGAAGAGTGCCAATTAATATCAGTTATAGCTAATGGGTTAGTATTGGAAAAACTCAATGTATTCAATGTAGTGGGTTAGTATTTAATAACAATGTATTAATAACAAGATATTTAATAAGGGTATTTTAGACAATTTAAAAAATTACTACATTTCTTAATGGGAAAGTGGACTACAATTTGGGACAGACGAAAAAGGAAAAGAAGACTATCAAAGTGGGACGGAGGGAGGGAGTATAAGAGAAAAATGTAATGTTGATACTCTAGGACTAGTCTAGTCACCAGAGTTTGGTCCAAAGTAAATCTACTCTCTAATGTTTCTAGTTTGAAATACATTTAGGATCATGACACGATTTTTTTTTTTTTTTGGGCAAAGGATGGAGAAAGAAACGAGGTGTAACATTAATTTTATCCTCGTGGTCGTAACATTTTGCAGTCGTGTTATTTTTCCTTGTATATTTTCCTTATAAATAGTCAGGTCAGTAAAATTTCGTTTAGTTGACTAGTTGATAATGGTGAAAACAACAACTTTAATTACCATAATTATTTCTCCATTTGAACAAATAAAAGCTAAAAAAGAAAAAAAAAGTACGGATGGGGTATAAGAATTTATTGGATCCTAATTCCCATTTCACTCTTAGGTTGCACGTGCAAATCAAACATATAGGAAGCTTATCTAATTTTTACCAAAAATAATTATATATTCAGGTGGTTGCAGTTGCATATTATTGTGTTAGATGATTTTTTGAGCTCCATTCTCTCCTTTTACTAAGCTATAGATGCCTTCTTGTGAGACAAGAAATGAGTTTTCTCAAAATACTCAAGCGGATAAACTGTAGTACTACTAAATTTGAAGTATATAGCAAGCATGCTACCAGAAGTTCTACATTCTTTCCCATTCTTTTTCTTCTTCTTGTGAAAAAGAAGAAAAGTAGTAGCAGTAATTAATAAGAATTTGAGACCACACATGAATTCTTGAATTTGTGGTATTGGCATCTTCTTCCTAGTTCCAACTTCCAAGTTCCTACCCACCATCACCAACACCAACAAAAAAATGAAAAAATAGCAAAATCTTAGCTGGAAGCATATGAGGAGCCTTGTCAAGCCTGGCCTGTCTAAAACTATTTTTTAACTAATTATTGCCCAGCTCATATAATAATACTTCTACTCAAACTACACTGCACTATTGCTCCTCCACTCCGCAGCCTGGACTCTGGACGGACTTGTGGTGATGCGATCCCGGCTTCTTCTCCGCTTTCTGCTGCTGTTCTAATTTTCACCTTTTCCTTCCCGCACTCTCCTCTCCTCTCCTCTCCTCATCGGTCATTTTACCTGCAACCATCGCCCCTTCCATCACCATCATCATCATTTCATGCTCATGCAGATGTTAATGTTTAGTACTAATAACCTACTCTTTCTCTCTCCTCTCGTCACTCTCTCTCTCTCTCTCTCACTCTCACACACTACCACCGATCTCCACAGTCCCCACTAGCCAAAAAGGCATCCGCCCACCCTGCTCCAGCTAGATATCCTCCTTCCCCCCTGCATTTACTCTTCCTCATCTCCTCAGCCCAAAATTATGCCTCCCTTATCCCTCCTCCTCCTCCTCCTCCTCCTCCTCTCTCTCTTCTCCTCCTGCTCAACTTTTCCATTGTCCTCACATATTATTGCCACCACCGCACCTGCCACCCACAACCGCCGCATCCTTCACCAACCCTTTTTCCCGCAAGGCTCGCTCCCACCGTCACAGCCTCCTAACCCTTCACCCCCCGCCCGCTACCCCCAAATACCCATTCTCTTCCACTTCCAATTCCCCCAAAACACACCCATTCTTCCCATCCTTCCCCTCCCCCTCCGCCCCCTTCTCCAGCCTCCTACGCCTCCTTCCCTGCTAACATCATCCTCCTCATCCTCCTCAGTCTTCCAAGTCCAAACCTGCCTCTCCAAGCTCATCGCCGCCGCCATCGCAGCCGTGGTCGCTGCCGCCATTGTTGTCTCCCTCGCCGTCTTTCTGCACCTCCGCCGGAAAAGAAACCGCCGAGCTTCTAGCGAAGCTAAGACCCATAGATCCGACAACAGCACTCGATTCCACTACCCAATGCCACTTATTCCGCCAACGGAAGCGTCCCCAAGCTCCAGAGGCCATCACAGACGAGCTCCGAGTTCCTCTATCTGGGTACCTTGGTAAATTCGCATGGGCCATTGGTAATACTAGTCCGCAGCAAAATGCGCGCAGCAGTACTGCTGACAGTGGTACTGCCAATTCCAGAAAGTTGGACTCGCCGGAGCTACGGCCATTGCCGCCGCTTAGTGGCCAGCAGAATGCAAGCCGAAACCACAAAAATGCCGAAGTGGGGTCCGCTGGGGACGAAGAAGATGAAGAGTTTTACTCTCCTAGAGGGTCTTTAGGGGCAGGGACAGCTCGATCGCCACTGGATCGGCGTCCAGGAGGGCCTTTGCTGCTGTAGAAGTGGAGAATTTTGGTCGGTCGAGCTCCGCTTCGTACTCTTCTTCTAGTTCTGCCTCGGGCTCGCCGGTGAGGTCCGTTTCCCTCAGCATTTCGCCTCCGGTGAGTGTGAGTCCGAAAGCCTCGAGGCCCAAGTCGCCAGAGTTGGTTGCTCTTCAGACTGCGCCTCCCCCGCGGGCGCCATCACCTCCGCCAGCACCCCGATATCGTTTTTCAATGCCCCTTTTGTTGACCAAAGACTATCGGCATCGACATGTCGCCGTCTCCGTCGCCTCCTAGTTCATCATCGCCCGAAAGAGTTTATAGTCGAAGCAGGGAGACTTCCCCTAGAATCTCAAACGTATCCGATCAGAATTTGGAGTCTCCAATGATTATTTGCAGTCCTGCTCAGCAAGCTGCGCCTGTTTCCATTCCATCACCGCCTTCAACTGTTTCAGCCCCACCACCTCCTCCGCCGCCGCCTCCCACTGTTTCAATCCCACCGCCTCCGGTTGTTTCAATTCCACCACCTCCGCCGCCTCCACCGCCAATTAAACACTGGGAAAGTCCCGCAACACCTTCGGCGGCAGCCATTAGGATATTAACCGAACCACCAGCTATAATAACACCTCTAAGGCCTTTATCTATGCAGAACCCAACAGTAATTTCACCTATGCAACTGCCATCAAATTTGGAGGCTGTTGAAAAGACTGAGGAGACCATCGAAACCCAGGGGCGTCCTGTTACTGAGAATGTTGTGAAAGATGAGGAAACAAATGAAGAGACCCCTAAACCAAAATTGAAGCCATTGCATTGGGATAAAGTCAGAGCAAGTTCTGATCGCGAAATGGTGTGGGATCAACTGAAGTCCAGCTCATTCAAGTATGATGACATTCAATCCTTAAAAAAGAGTGGTTTTGGCACAGTTTTTTTTTTTGTTTTGGGTGGTAATCTTGCATATCAAGTGAACAGACTGAATTGGGTTCAATGCAGGTTGGACGAAGAGATGATTGAGACATTGTTTGTTGTGAAAAACTCCAACTCAAGTTCCCAAGGAAACAACTCGAAGGCCAATCCTTCCCTCACCAAGCCAAGAAAATAGAGTGCTTGATCCCAAGAAGTCGCAGAATATTGCCATTTT